GACAAAACGGACTCGATTCAGCAGGGGTGACTGGGCTTAAGCCAGCATGACAACGGGGACAGCCCTCTGTGAGGCTGGGCGGCCGGAGTGAGAGAGATGGTGAGTCTGCTTGGGGATGGCTGCACGGAGGTTCCTGGGTCATGCCCAGGAGCCACACCCCGTAGGTAAATGATAAGCCCGGAGTTCCGGAAAGAGGGCCTTCTCTGCTGGCAACCTTCTCTGTCCTCGCCTTCTCTGTGCTCCAGTCCCGTCCTCATCTCTGCTGGCTGGCACCGCCGGGAGGGGAGGAAGCCCTGGGCGTGCTGTGCCCAGGTTAGCAGAAATGGCAGCCAGGCTCCCCTCTCTGGGCTGCGGCTCCCGCTCCTTGGAGGTCTAGAATCCACAGAGCTGGAATGGACCCCTACACCCCACCAAGATCCATGCTTTCCGACCGCAATCCCCGGGTCCCCATGCAGGTGCACAGGCTCCACCCACAGACTGTCTGCCGGGACAGGTCGGGTGGAGCTCAGGAACTGAATGTTTTAAGATGCACCAGGTGACACCGGAACAGGCTGCCAACCTGCTCGGAGAAGCCCTGCTCCCAGCAGATGCCCGGTCAGACCCTCCTGCAGCCACGGCCCCTCTTCTCTGGCTCTGCTGAGAAGGTAGAGGGCAAGAAGGGGGTCTACAGGGAGGGGAGACCGCTGGCCCCTAAAGTGAGGTGGATAACGCTAACATCACATCTGAGTGCTCACTTCTACAGCAGGGTCCCGCGGGGACGCCTCCGAGCCGGTATTTGAAACAACTTTCCCCATTTGGCAGTTGAGGCGATTGAAGCTGAAAGTCAAGTCATCCCTTCGGTGGTGGTGGTGGTGGTGTGTGCTCCATGCCTGTCACCCGAAGCACAGGGTGAGGGTAGGCAAGCTGCGCCCTGCCCTCTGGCCTCAGTCTTCCTCTCTTTGAAATACAGAGAACTGCCCTAACCGGTTTGGCTCAGCGGATAGAGCATCTGACTGTGGACTGAAAGGTCCCAGGTTCAATGCTGGTCAAAGGCTTGTATCTTGGTTGCGGGCACATCCCCAGTAAGGGGTGTGCAGGAGGCAGCTAATCGATGATTCTCTCTTATCAATGTTTCTAACTCTCCCTCTCCCTTACTCTCTGTAAAAAAAAAAAATCAATAAAATATATTTTAAAAATAAAGTACAGAGAACTTTCCCCCACCTGCTTCCAGGAGACTCGGGTCTTGACGATGATGATGGTAACACACCGCTGGGAAGCCAGCAGCGTTCTCCCCAAACAGCACCCGTGCCACCTCTGGGACCCTTCGCCCGGTCTGCATGCTGCCTGCAGGGCACGTCTGGACCTCTGCCCACCCATCGCTGGACAGAAAGGGCAAAGGGCGTTCCTTCTGCCCCGCGCTGAGCGACGCACACAAAGGTCTCCCTATGTGCGTCTCAATGGAAGCCTCTGTTTGGCGGCAATAATATTATTTTCTGCTGCTGACGTGTCACCTCCATTTTTGAACTGGGAACATTCGGCTGTATTTTCCCCTGTTGTGTCAGAGAGAAATGACACCCCCAGATCCTCGGACCGGGGGAAACACATGGCAGGGGGCAGGCGACATGGCTCGGAGAAAGCCAGAAAGATGGGAGGGGGAGGGGCAGGCTTCGTTGCACCTTGTTTATGCAAGTTTGCGCTTGAATCGCTAAGCATTTCTTCAAGTCATTAAAGAAGCTCCGATCTGACCCAAGCAGCAGGTCACGAATACCAGTGAAGTCACTGAAGCTAGTTCTGGGCAAGGCTCCTTCTCTGAAAAGCACGCCCAGGCCACTCGGTCGCTGGAAGCAATACAGAAAGTATGAGCCGCCAGCAGGAAAAAATCCCGGTTTCCTCATCGGCGTTCTCACCGCTCATCTCCTGAGGGGGGGAGGGCAGGCTAGGGGGAATGTACGGAGGTCAGTAACCGCGGGTGGTTACGTGTCAGCATAGCTAACGTTTTCCTCTGGACGTAAAAGCAGTGGCGTTTGGGGTGGGACCACTCTGACCTCATCCTTGCCACTTGTGATGGCTTCCATTCTCTGGAGTTTGCTCCCCTAAATCCCCCTCCTCTCTCACGCCTCCCGCACCTGCAATAAAATGCAATCACATCGTGCCCCGCGGAGCAGGGCAGGTGGTCTGATTGCTCACGGCGCCTTCCTTCCCATCTGCCCATGGGCCACCTGCTGGCTACTCTGGGTCCCTGGGCCAGCTGCTAGACCCACAAGGAGGTCCCTCGTCCTGCACAGAAGCAACCACCGGGGATGAAGGGAGGAAAGCCCACGGCTACTGAGAAAGAAAGAAATTGCAGAGAAAAGGCAGGTCGTTGGCAAGAAGGGCTATGCCCACCTGGTGAAGGTGGCGGGAAAGGGAAGGACAAGAGACAAGAAGCAGGAAAGGGACCAAGAATGGGCCCTGTGTAAGGAGTGAGAAGCACATTCAGGAATGACAGAGGAGAAACAGACTGCTGGGGTCTCTCAAGAATGTCTGAGAGAAAAACGGAATTTTTAAAAATATATATTTTATTGATTTTTACAGAGAGCAAGGGAGAGGGATAGAGTTAGAAACATCGATGAGAGACAATCATCGATCAGCTGCCTCCTGCACACCCCCTACTGGGGATGTGCCTGCAACCAAGGTACATGCCCTTGACCGGAATCGAACCTGGGACCCTTCAGTCCGCAGGCCGATGCTCTATTCACTGAGCCAAACTGGTTAGCACAAAAAAACAAAACAAAAAAAAACAGAATGTCCTGTATCTGTTGAACAAAATGCACGTTATGAGAGGGAAACTATCTCTGAGCTCCACGGTGGGAGCCGGAAAGAAAGCCCAGGGCCATCTAGTGCGCATCCTTCACTGGGCAAAGAGCAGCTAAAGCCCGAAGAACGAAGGTGACTTGCCAAGATGAGTGTTAGAGAGAGATCTGGCTGGGGACACGTCCTCCACGGCTCTGGCCCAGCAATTCCTCCAGCAGCCGACATCACCGGCAACTCCCTCAGGAAATACGAGCAGTGGCTTTTTAACGCTTGGTGACCAATGCTGAGACCTACATGGGACCCCACCTGAATCCACACAGAGACAGGTTATAACCTTGACCTGACCTTGCAGGCTGACAGCAAGCAGACTGTGCTTTTCCAAGCTCCAAGTGTGGCTCCCCAGCAAGAGGAGGGATGGAAATGCCCGGTGGTGCCAAGTGCATCCTGACAGACATAGCGACAAAACAGCAAGCTTTCCCACGAGGCCAGAGTCCCAAGGCGTGGGGGAAGGGCCCCCCTTGAGAATGCACCTGCTAGGTTAGGTGATGTGTGCAGCCAGAAAGAAATATGAACCCTAGCTGGTTTGGCTCAGTGGATAGAGCGTCAGCTTGTGGATTGAAGGGTCCTGGGTTTGATTGTGGTCAAGGGCCTATGCCCGGGTTGCAGGCTCGATCCCCATCAGAGGGTGTGCAGGAGGCAGCCGATTAGTGATTCTCTCTCATAATTGATTTTCTATCTCTCTCTCCCTCTCCCTTCCTCTTAAATCAATAAAACATATTTTAAAAGAAAGATGGATGAAGGCAGGCCTAAGCTTGGAGGCTCTTTCTGGGCAGTGATGAGAAAGCTGAAGCAGCAGAGTGGTCTCTGACCCTTCCGACACACGGAAGACCAGGACAGAGAGAGTGCGAGGAGGTGAGCAGGTGATTTAAAACGCAGGGGAGCTCAGACTAGGAGGTCAAGGCAGGGCCATGTCCTTCTAGGTGGTAGGATGGAAAAGAGGAAACTTCCAGACAGAGCCTGAAGTCACAGGTAAAGAAACCATCATTCTGAAAAATAACCAGTTAAGACAGGTTTTCCTAAAGCATGCATAGCTATGTCTTCTGTTAGCTTTTCAGACAGATTGTATGTTGACTTTCACTCTTGGATAAAATCTTTTTTTTTTTTTTAATATGTGTCTGCTGGCCATTATGCAGTTTGCCTATCTCCTCAAAAACAAAATATTTGTCAAAGGGCAATCAGTAAGCATGCTGAAAACTGACGATTCCTAAGTAAACTCCTAACGTGTGTGTGCTATGACCCCAGAAAGAGATTTGGCTGAATGAAAAGCATAAATCCTTCAGGCAAAACATGAAGAGTACCTGGCCACTGATGGGCACAGTTTTCTTCCCAGATCAGACGAGATTGGGTGTGTTCAGGGTGGTATGGCTGTAGATTACAGTTTTCTTATCTACATGGCAATTAATACCCTGTTTCCCCGAAAATAAGACAGTGTCTTATATTAATTTTTTCTCTCAAAGTTGCGCTCAGTCTTATTTTCAGGGGATGTCTTATCTTTCCATGCGCTAGGTCTTATTTTTGGAGGATGTCTTATTTTCGGGGAAACACGGTATTATGTGTGGGTCTCAACAATAAAGAATTTTTAAGAAATATATTATCTGTGGTGCCTTCTCCAAGAAGGACTGCTCAATTCTATTCATGTCAAATCCAGGCCGGGAAGAACTGCTCCCCATCTGATTTTCTCATCAGCGGACACGAGATTCCTGGTTCAACATGTGCTGTACCCCCATCCTCATTTCGAAAAGATGCACCCTCAAGAATTCTTGACAAATCAGAATCCAACACTTATGAGCAAAAGCTCAAAATTGGTAGCTTTGGCGATTGCTCTGAATGCTGTGTTTTCACAGTAACCACAATCAAATCACATTCGAAACTTAACTTTTGTCCGAAAGTTCTCAGGCAGAGAAAGCAAGAAGCCACTCCTTTTACCCCACCACAATCCTCTAGCTCCGTATTCTCAAGTTCCATTGGAGAAGCCAGGGTTGGTCAGGAAATGCGAGAAAGAAAACAAGACAACGGCCTGGCCACCCACACCCCCCACTCCCTTCTGTGGCAGGCCAAGCCACTGCCCGGTTCAGCAGCTTCTACAAGAAAAAAGGCAAACGACACAGACTCATGCTCCCGTGGCAAAGGCCCCCGCGTGCGGAGGTTACGGTTGTAAGCTGTCTTACTGATCATGGTGGTGCCCCCAGCCAGAGCCGCCTTGGTGCCTTGGAAGAAGTCGTCAGCAGAAGTCATTCCCTGGTCAGGCATCTGGAAGCGGGTGTGGACATCAATCCCTCCGGGAATCACCATCCGGGAATGGGCCTCGATGGTCTTGACCCCTCCGGGCACAATCAGGTTTTCTCCTATTTGCCTACACGAATAGGGTGGTGATGATGGTGGTAAGCGAAATGTCCTTGAATCAAAGGAAATCTGACAGACATCTTCCCCAAGCCCCCTACCTTATTCGTCCCTGTGTTCACTAGACATTTCCAGTGACTGTGATTATTCATAATATATGTGCACTCCCCATTCCCGACCACCAGCTAAGAAGCAATACAGCGCTTCCTTAGAAAACAAAAGTTAAATAAGGCACCAGGGGCCTAATCAAAGAGGCTTAGTGACCAGAAAACCCCTACGATCTGAAGATAACAAGACCCCAAGGAATTTACATAAAATGCCACTGCACTTTCTCTCGATAAACATAGTTGAGCAAATTTTCCTATAGCAATTTCCTCCAGACCTGTTGGCACTTTACAAATATGTATTTTCACCAAATCCTTTGCAACATAGAGAAAATAAGGGAGAAGCAAAAATAAATAAATACGTGAATACTATGATTAAAACAGTTTGAAAATTTGGAAGCATGTCATTAGCAACTCAGATAAGAAGGCAGGAAAATTCATTATGTTGAAGGATATAAATTAATTTCCAATGTTTAAAAAAATATTTCTGGCCCTAACTAGTTTGGCTCAGTGGATAGAGCGTCGACCTATGGACTGAAGGGTCCCAGGTTCAATTCCGGTCAAGGGCATGGACCTTGGTTGTGGCACATCCCAGTAGGGGGTGTGCAGGAGGCAGCTGATGGATGTTTCTCTCTCTTCGATGTTTCTAACTCTATCCCTCTCCCTTCCTCCCTGTAAAAATCAATAAAATATATTTAAAAGAATATATTTCTGCTTCATCTTTCTACCAATTTGTATTTTTTTAAAATGAAAAAGTAATCAAGGAGAAGTGGATAAAGTTCAAAATCAAATTAGTGACGACTAAAAATAGCCCCCAGGCTTGCTCACTTCCAGGCCAGTGTCTTCCTGCTAGATTCAAACTGGGGGGAATGGGACAGGCAAGTCATGGTATGTGAGAGCCTGGAGCAGACTGTCATAGGCACACGCACATGGAGAAAACATTAAATGTGGAAATGGTGGGACCTATTTTAGGTCATAAATCAGGGTGTGAGTTTCCAGGCAACACATACATCCACTCCAGTTTTCCACTGCTCGGGAATGGTTTGCTGTGGGACTTGATGAATGCTGCTTATTCAAAAGATGTCGTTTGCAGCAATGTTTGTCTTTAAACAGATGTGCTATTTCTCTGGAGCCTCATGAGCTGTCCCAGTCGGAAGGGCACAAGGATACTGGTATGTACTCCGCTCGCTTAACCCTCTAGACTCCAAAAACAACCTCATGCAATAACGGCTCTGTTGTTAGTAACACAATACACAAGCAACACGAGGGCAGTCTCATTGGTGTTTGTTGGCACTTAAAGAATGAAACCTAAAATTCCCTTGGGATGAGGCAGTAATTTGTCTATGTTACTTAATTTGTTTTCCTTTGGCCCAACCACTGAATTCTTGATTCAGAAAGCAGATGTGCTATCTTGATAGAAAAGGGTATACTCACACTGTGTCCTTCCACTGGACAAGGCAAGCAAACAACTACGTCCTAGGAAAACCTTTAGTATATGCAATGGATCCTAAACCAAGTATCTGAGCTGGCAACAAGAAATTGTGTCACCTGGGTTAAAAATAGCAAATTACATAATGCATTAGGAAATGGGTAGGCATTGAATTGTGGCTTTAAGTTCCCTAAATCTGAGTTTTCAAATTCACTAATTACTACCAATCGAAATGGGCTTAAAGTGACACTAAGTCACTCTTTGAAGTCACTAAAGCTTGATATTATGTGTGTGAACCATAGGAAATGCTTGGGAACACTGGAAGGTACATGAATTCTTCTCTATGAGATACACTTACTTGATCAACCCATCTTCCATGTATATGTCTGCATAGAATGACTGGTCATCATTAACGATTTTACCTCCTTTGATCAGAAGACGATCACTCTGAAACAAAGACATACCAAGGTCACCATGTATATCTGACCCATGAGGAGCGTTGGTACTAAAATAAGTGAATTAAAGGCACATTTCACTATTCAAAAGGGATGCTCAGCCAGCCGGCATGGCTCAGGGTGGAGCATCAACCCATGCATTGGGAGGTCACTGTGATTCCCGGTCAGGGCACACCCAGGGATGTGGGCTGGGTTTCCAGTGGGGGTCGTGCAGGAGGCAACAGATCAATGACTCTCTCATCACTGGTGTTTCAATATCTCTCTCCCTCTCCCTTCCTCTCTGAAATCAATAAAAATCTATTTACTGCTCAAAAATGAGCCGATTTCGGGAAGGTTCGGTGACAATGGTAAACCTGTACGTGGGGACCTATTTGACACAAGCTCAAAGCTTACCATTATAGATTTAAAAACAAACAAAAAACCCTCTTTCCAGAAGACAATACTTTTTAATGGCTTTAAGCTAAACTTCATTAAAAAAAAAAAAAAAAAATACACCCACATGTAGGGAAGTCAATTCTTGGCAAGCTTTGTGTGGGGGAAAAAATTAACCAAAAGTCTGTTGTCATGGCAAAACTCAACACAAACACACTAGGTTCCACCATAACAAGGTTTCAATTCAGCCTGCTCATTATATGTGCGATTTCATTTTGAGGTAAATCACGGCGATTGTAGCAAAGAGAGAAAAAAAAAAAAAAAACCTCTTCAATTATACACCATTTTAACTATTAAACTGTTAAGGAAAGGTTTTATGATGAAGTAGATGAGAGGGCAAGTTCTAAATCTAACAAACACCACTATAAATTGCCAATTCACTTATGATACAATTAGTGTAAAAAAATACATATGACAGCCGAAACCGGTTTGGCTCAGTGGTAGAGAGTCGGTCTGCGGACTGAAAGGTCCCGGGTTCGATTCCAGTCAAGGGCATGTACCTTGGTTGCGGGCATATCCCCGGTAGGGGGTGTGCAAGAGGCAACTAGTCGATGTTTCTCTCTCATCGGTGTTTCTAGCTCTCTATCTCTCTCCCTTTCTCTCCCTAAAAAAATCAATGAAATATATATATTTTTTAAAAATACATATGACAAGCAGCACAGGAGGGCCAAGGATATAATAAAAATGTGGCCTTATGACTCCTGTCTATCCCAAAGGCTTTGACAGAGGCAGTGTTAAAATCTGAGGGTGTACACCGGTGCTATTCCACACTGGGTTGAAATGTTACAGGTTAAACCACAAATTGCCCTCTTAACATGCAAAACATTTCGAAGGAATGGCATTCATCTTGACAATGGTTAACTCTAACCTGTTACAAAACAACATGCTCAGCAGGTGCTATTTATATTTAGCACCCGCCAAAGAAAATACCATAGCAAATGTCGTAGCAAAAAACACATAAACTGGGAGACCCAAGAAGATCCTTTTACCCAAAAATGCACACATGGATTTACAAAGCAACATAATGCAAAACAGTAAGATCGTTAAATTCTGTACACTTCAGTGTGCTGTAGACTTGGGAAAGTCGTATGGGAAAGTGGAAATAATCAACAGCAATGCCTGCACTTGTATAAGGTAAATGTAAGGACCTTCATGAAATCCAGCGAGGCGGATGGAGAGTCCTAACCCATGACACTTAAGGAAACTGAGACACACAGACGTTATGTCACTTGCCCAAGGTCACCTGATCAAGTACACTTTCCTCGGTCTGCACCGAACTCCCCCTCAGGATCCGGCTTGGACAGGATAAACAGTGCCTAGGAGGCAAAGAGAAGCCCTGCCCTTCACCACCTGCTCCCTCATTCGCTGTGGTACCTGTCGCAGCCATCCCTGTGACGCCCGGAGCCAACACACACACACAGACACACACACACACACACACACACACACACACACACAGGAAGAAACATCACAGCCCTGTTCGCTCTTAGTACCTTCCAGAAGGCTTCTTACATAAGAGGCTGGCTTGTGATGCTGGGAGGAAGGAGGGAGACCATGCTATTATCTAGGTCCTCCATAACGCAGCCAGATTTTCAGGGTAGAAGGGGGCGCTCTTTAAAAAAAAAAAATCAGTCTTGTTTGCTTTTTCATTTTTTTCCCTCCCCACACTGTCAAAACGAAACTGCCTTTTTCATTCAGGAAGACAGCGATTTATGTGGGACGTGCAGCCAATGTGCTCTCCACCCCCTCTCTCCAGACTCCTTCCTCCCAACAGGGACTCTCCAAAGGTCCCCCTCGCCGGCCCTTTGGGGTGGATCCTGGGTCTTTGGCCTTTTAGGAAAAGCTACTACCCACCCTCGCCAATGAGCAGCCTGGCTCGTCCTATAAAATCCTCTCCAGCTCGCACCCCCGCCCGCCCCTGTGCGTTTGCTTCCACATCTCCCTCCTGCGGATGGGTGTGTCCTGGTGCATCCACAGGAGGCCCGGGTGCCCGTGGCTCGGGAGGGAACGCGCGCCCTGCAACCCAGCCCTGAGCACAGCCACACTCTGCAAGGCTCCTTCCTGCGTCTGCCTCAGCCCCGGGTTCCACCCAGCAAATCCGTGGGCCCATGGCGACTGCACATCATTATGTAACAATGAACATCCCCCGCGTTCCACCCGCCCTCCCCAGCGTGTCATTTGGGGATGTCGATCGAGAACCAAGACTAGCGAGATTTTTTTTTTTTTCCCCCAGGAAAAGATGGGGTGAGGATGGGCGCGGTGGGAGGGAGGACCTGCAGCCTGCCAGTTCATCACGTAGATGTTTTGTTTTCTCGCGATTTACAAACGAAGCACCCCAGGCCCCCTGAGTGCGCCGACCCCTCCGGCCGGCGGGATCATTGTCTGGCCGCGGCCCGGCCGGGCCATCTGCCCCGCGCGCCGCGCTGCGCCATTCCCTCCCCGCGCGGTCCCCGACGCCCCCCGCCCGGCCCGCTTTGTATGCGCCAACGCGGGCGCCTCGGGCTGCAGGAGGGACCGAGAGGCAGGAGAAAGGGTCCCCGCCCCGGACCAGAGGGCGAGAAAGCCCAGGGGGGCACCCACCCCGGTCCCTGGCCAACAAAAAACCCCCGCCCGGCCCCCGCCCTCCTCGGTGCGCCCCCGCGCCCCTGTTCCTCCTTCCCGCTCCCCATCCTCCTGGTGCACCCAGCCCTTTCAGCATCCCTCCCTCCGCTGTCACTCCGCCGCCGGGCGGAAACCTGCTCCTTTCTCCCAGGGCCCCCCCGGAGGAAGGCTCCAGGGAAAAAAAAAAAAGCCCTTTATGGCGGGGGCGGGAGCCACAGGGAGAATCCATTTCCCATTCCCCCGTCCAGCTCCTCAGAGTCCAGCCTCGCAGCGCGCAGCCCGGAGAACAATATGCGAGCTCCAGCCATGCATGTGCAATCTGGCATCCATTTGCTTCCACCCCGAAGGCCAGCGCTGCAGCATCTCGCCTGACAATAAAGGGAGACAGCGGATCTGGCGCGCTCCCCGGGACGACCTCAATGCACTCACGCTATTTTAATGTCTTACAAATCATGTGGCTCATAATTCTATGATCGCGTCTCCTGGCACCACGATCGCCTTCTTTAGGAACGGGGGTAGGGGGTGGGGGGTCGTTAGGTCCCTCTTCTTCCCCCCCCCCTCCTTAAAAAAAAAATCCTTAGATGTTCTGTGCCACAAAAGGTGGCTGCTGGCCGACCACAATCTCCCAAGTGCCAAACTCACCGTGATGCGTGGAATATTTTTCTTCCCCTGATAAGACATCTCTCTCCTGGGAAAAAAAAAATAATAATTTCAAAAGGGCAGCTTTAAAGCAAAAAAAGGAAGAAAAAAATGCCCCAAAAGAGAGTTGATTTTTTTTTTCTTTTGCAGGATTGAAAAAAAGGTGCAATAGCTTAGCTAGGCTTGCTGATAACAAATCCCAGGAACGTAGGAGATCAATGCAATGCTCCGTCTCTCTTTCTTCCTCTCCTCCAGCACAGCCCCAGCCAGGGCGGAAAAAAAAAGAAAGAGAGGGAGCGAGCAGGAGGGAAGGGGGTGGAAATAAACTACAGCAATAAAAGCCTCGGCTCCAGTCGGCCGCCGCGGCGCATGCGCCGCCAGCCACTCCCTTTCCTCTCAGGCAAGAGCCATCCGCTTCGGGAGAGACGAGCCCTGATTGGCCAGGATCGTGGGATATGCAAATGCCCAGGCGGGAGCGCGAAATGCTGCAGTGAGCGCGGAGGGCGGCGGCCGGGGCGGGCGGGCGGCCGGGGGGCGCGCCTTTCGCGCCCTTTCTGCAGGGCCAGCGCCCCGGGGACAGTGGCCGCGGGAGCCCCCAATGCAGCAGCCACTGCACCGCAGGGGAAATGGCGGGCGATCCTGAACGGACAGGGGAGCCCAGCCCGGGGAGTCGGTGGTCCTCCTCGTAGCCCGAGCGGCACGCACCGGTGGATGCCGCCCGCGCGCCAATCCGCGGAGGCCGCCGCTGCAGCCCCGCGTGGGGTGACTGCGCCGAGCCAATGGCTTCGCTGGCGGCGAGCGCGCGACTGCACCGCCGGCCGGCGCCGCGCCGCCCGGGGGGGCGCCCTCCCCAGCTCGCCGCTCGGCCTCCTCCCCGGAGCCGGCGGGGGATGGCGATGGCAGCGAGCAGAGGGGAGGGAGAGCGCTCGCCGCGGCGCCGCCCGGCCCCGCAGAGGGGCGGCTGGACCGGGGCCTGCGATCGGGGCGGGGTGGGGCGGCGTCCGCAGGCTCCCCGGGGCGAGGAGGGGTGCGGCCGGAGGCCCGGCTGGGAACGTAGCGGAGGGCGAGCCCCGCGGCCTGGCAGCTGGAAAGGCAGGGGTGGGGATGGGGGGCAGCTGGGGAAGGCCGCAGGCCGCCGCTGGAGATGCAAACCCGGCCCTGAATTAATTGCCCCTTGTGCCTTAGGCCGGGCAAGGCACTTGGGAGCAGGGGGGCTCAGCAGCTGCCTGTTGAGGCAAAAATGGCCCAGTCCGGGGGCCCTGTTCTCTCCAACAGTCACGCCCACCTAGACCCATCTGTTGATGGTCGCATTTCTCTGCA